CCGATGCACATTCCTCAGAGCTTTCGCGTCTTTAACAATCCTATCCATCACGCATTCATTCTTCCATCCCCGGCCCTCCTCCAGAAGAAAAAAAAAATCTAATCGTTCTCGATCAGTGCAACAATATCGAATCGAAAATAGATAGGTGCATCACATTTCACCTACATACAGTCAAGACCTCAGTCACACCAGCAAGACCGACTCCAGACCGAGAACAGACCGAGCAAAAAAAAAAATCATAATCAAATGGCCAAATAACGATGATTTGAAATCGGTGTGCAATTTGTTCGACGGTGAGACTTGGGTATAAAGGAAACATGACCATGACAAACGTTAGTTTCATATTTTTATGTTTGTTTAAACAATATACCATACTTGCCTTCATATTGCTTGGCCAATGATAAACGTGAGCTCTGGGTGATAGTCGACTCATGCCTGTTGGACACAAGGCGTTATTTTCCTGACGGAGGCCTGCGTCAACGATTGGTGCAGTCTTGACGCGCATTTTGGCAGTGATATTAAACAGTCCGACAAGTGAATGAAAAACCAATCTTTTAAAAATCTTTTTAATAGCTGACGTATGCGCTAATTGCCATCAAAAACTTGACTGGCGCATTGAATAACGCAATCAAAATGATACAACGAGCATTGCACATAGTTCGTAATTTTTATTGCGTTAATGTATACGCTGATAAAATCTCAAAGGGAATTTATTGCATGCTCCAAGTAGTTCAAAAATGTTTGCACTGTTCCTTTTACCATCAAATGTTGTATGACGTCACTCTGTCATTGCGGTATGCGCGTTGCACACGAGGCGTCGATTGCCTGACGTAGGGTTACGTCAGTGAATTGTTCAAATAAGCCAGAAGACAATAATCATATTAATCTATTGTTCAGTTTTGAGCTCTTTCGTTTTTGTATAAAATGTTTCACCGTAATCTCTTCAACTTGAGGTTAGACCTGTGAACTGTGCCTTAAAAGAAAACGGCAACTTAAGATATCATATATTTCTGTGCCATTACGTTACCTTAATTATCTTTGGTGTACTTCGATTGCTTATTGCCCCAAAAGTTTGGAAATAACTTCGCGAACCTATGCAAATGAATTTCAGAGACAGCCCCCGTTATACGGATATAAGTACTCAAATTTACATTGCAAATATATCATAAGAATTCAACAAGAGTGATTTTCCTCGTTACGTTATTTTACTTTTCTCTTATCTTCATCATGAGGAGCTCTGGTTTATGCAGGGGTCAATCTCTATTTACCTTAGAAAGTAATTATGGAAACCTTCTCTCGCCCATCCATTTCACTCAAGACATATTTGTACCTCTTATTCATAATGCTTACTCCCCATCTGTTTTTTTTTCTTCCCGGAATCAGAACATGGAAAATGTCAACGGAAAACGAGGTAATGGGGTACTCGAGATGACAGGTCATAACCCATAAATCCTCTTATACCAAAAAATCTCATATCACATGCAAATATTTTCCCTTAAGCCGAGATCTCGTTGACGGCGGCTTAAGATCGGGGGGAGTGGGGGGGGGGGGGCATTAGAGATTATAAAGACAACCGCTATAATCATGTCGACCTTTAGCGGCCCACTCAATCATTTTTTTTTCTATCCAGAGTGGATATAAAGTCTCCTTGCTGAAGATGGATGAGTAGTTACACAAAACTGATTTAGTATTCAATCACGAAATGGAAAGGCGCCTTCCAAACTGAATCTGCTGATACAAACCCTCTTCGCCGCATCCTTTATTCTTTCTCCTCTTCGTTGAACTCAACTCCTCTTTTCCACGCTTTCACGCATGGCGGATTCGGTAAGAGCGGTAGCAAGTTTTCGGCGGCAGAACAAGGTTACCCCTCCCCCCTCATCAATTAGTGTTGGCGTTGAATTAAATATTGATGATGACTGAGGATATTCTTAAATTGATCACCGTGTAGGTACTGGTCTATGTTGTGAATGATCATTCCCCGTTTCTCGTTAAAAGTATTGGAAACACTTTGATTGAGTATGGACACTTTTTATACTTTGAGTAAATGAAAATATTAAATTTATATCATACTTTCATTAACAATAAGCAACGTTTGATATAAAACAGATAAGTCTATGCATATTTTGTATTGATTATCAAATCTGTCATTTTCATCAGTTTTTAATAAAAACTGATGTCTCTTTGTCCATTTGTAAATTGAATAATAACGTGTATTTTCTATCTTTCTGTTTTTGTCTTGTATCCGTCATGTATTTTGTATGTTTATTGAAAGTTATTTAAACAAAATCCCATTTCTGAATATTGTTTGATATCAATACGAAATCATCAAATGGTATTCCCAAATTCCAATTGTAAAAGATCAAAGTATCTCGTTCTAACTTTTCGCAAGCAAGCTTTTCAGTGCACAAAAACAATATTTTAACCCCCACTTCTAATTTCCCAGATTATGGACCATAACAAATTTTAGTAAGAAGGTGAGAACAAATTGTATCCCGTTCCAAAGGCAAAACTGAATTAAGGATGCCATGTTAAGGATGCCATCCCTCCTATATGGAGAGGCTTGGCATTACCCTCCCCCAACAAAAACTTCAACCCCCACTAGAAATTGATGAGGAGTCAGTGAAGCGGGATGGGGCGGCTTAAATTCCATCAGATAATCTTCTTTTCTTTTATTGTCTGAGGTATTGCTCTACGTCATCACTTAGTAGTAGCGCGACGTGTGTAGTGCGCCGACATCGAAAATTGCGATTAATTTTAGGGTTTGTTAGCGCGAAGCTGATGTAACTTTGAAGGTTGTTTCATTTGAAGGGGCATCGGTGTAGCTTTGTTTTTTCTTCTTTCAACGAAATAGATATCGGGCGATATCAACATTTGCTTATTTGTTTGTTTGTTTGTATGTATGTTTGTTTGTTTGTTTGTTTTAGGGAAAATGAATAAGAGTCGGCAGCGGGTATGTGCCAATTAAATCTTTGACAACAAATTAGAGTTTTGTTTCAGGATAAACTTGTGAGATAAGTCCCTTTGCCCCTGCCCTTATTTAGCGTAAATGCAATTTTGTTTTCAAATAAGTACTTTCATACATCGAATACATCGAATATTTTAGTCTCCTGATCCCCTTTTAGTCACCCATAATTCATGATATCTATTAGTGGAAGTGACGCTGTTTATGCATGTTTGACAGTAACTAGTGATCAATCGTTGCTACTATTATCATCGAATACAATGTGATATAATATACAATTCACTTTAGTTCCACGTATAAGGTATGATTATCATGATTAAATGTCTGTCATGATTAAATGGTTATAAAGGTGTGACAATTTATTACATGTGTCTGGCTATTGAGATCATCCATTCTTCATTTACTTGCCACCCCCTTTTGTCATGTTAAGTATTTTCATCGTTATAGTTCATAAGCACGTGATTATCGCTATAAAAAACGACATCCATGATGTATGATGCATTGTGCGGAAGTGACAGTTATTTAATCATCTTTCACCCCGATTATAATTATATTGGAACTCTATTATAATAATAATTGACGATTTCTGAACTACTAGAATGTGTTTTGTTGGCAAATAATGAATGCAGTGGCATGGTAACACAACCCTTCCCCTCCTTTTGTTGTAATGCTACTCATTTGTGGAAAAATATATACTTTGAAGATAACAACAATTGCTCGTAGTTAAAGGGAATCTACGTTTCGATATTTGAATGGAAACAAAATATATAATATTGTGTTACTTCAAACAAATCGTTCTTAATTGTATCAGCTTCTTAAGAATACAACTCACATGAATTTAAGCATGCATCTAGAAGAGTAATACTCCTCTCAGCGAAATATGGTCTACTGACAAGCGTTGAGTGCTGTTGACATTGTTTCTGACCGCATTTTCACTTTTCGAACACATGCTTCCCTCTTTTTTACGTGGCCTATGATGAAAATGTTTCATACTAATTGAAATATTGGTATCAATCTCGATCTTGATATTGATCTCTGTAACATTTTTCATAGCTAGTATATATCATTATAATCTTGCTTAGGAGGAGGAGGGGTGGGGGAGGGTGGGTGGTGGTATTTTGGTGACAAAGCATAGCCCCAATGATCCAAGCATTGGAGGTAGGGACGGCCTCGGTAGGTTGACGAAATGTGAAGGAGCGGGGCATCGAAACATATATATTTATCCCCTCCCTCCCTCCTATTGAAAGACAATAGTCGAGAGAGGAGGGGGGGGGGGAGGGGGGGGGGCTACTTCCCATTGTATTCCTCGAATCTTTCTTATTTCCTCTCTTATTTTGATTTTGTTTTAATTCGAAGGTTGTTTGTAGGCAAGTGTCTTAAGTTTCTCTCTAGGTCTTCATGTACAAGAGTGGATTATGCAATTACATGAATATATCTTTTTAATTTTCACGCTTCCCATCCTCTTTTTAAACGCAAACAAAAACTTCATGTCAAGTCAAGCGCCAAATAACTTCCAACATTCTTGCAAATACTCTATTACCCCCTCTCTCAAGTCGGTCAGAATCCATTGGTTTATTTCTGCCCTGCCGATCCGTACCATCACACCACGTGGGTGTATCCCCAAAAGACGGTACATGACTTGTTTTTCTTTAATTTACCATCATTTGACGAAGCATCTGCGTCGCAATTCTATAACGGAAATTAAGACATGCCTCCAACAGCAAAAAATACAGCTATAATGAACAAGAATAATGTTACACCAAGCATCACTGCAAGGCCATTGCAGCTCCCCTGTTACAAAATTATATCCTTTATTTTGAGTCGGTGTTAGGGGAAAAGGATAAAGAGGAGAGAGAACGGGAGAGAAAGAGAGGAAGAGAGAGAGAGAGAGAGAGAGGGAAAGGATATGCAGCTTGTGGGCTCTTCGCCGGCTGTCAAGAGCGGGAATGCGAATTTGTGCAGGCTACGATGAGCGCATGCGTATTAGAGACAGTCCGATGTCGCCTGGCAGCAATAGGTTTTATCGAGTAGTGTCGTAAGTAACGTAAGTTTAGCACTGTGTTATGAATGCCGCATCGCGAATACGCCGGTGGCCCATCAACTCATCGCCGTCCCTTCCCCGCGACATATACGTACTCAACGTCTTTTATCATTTTTTTTTTCTTGATGGCGCTCGGAGATTGGGAACGTACAGGTGCAGTGTGGATACAAATCTTCGCAACATAAAGAGGCCGACATTGGATATTTGCTTGTGATTATCATCCGGATAAATATGACCCTGCTTTTGGTTCTGATATCGCCGTTGCTTTTGTTTCTTACGCTTCGAATGGGCTCGGGATTAGTGCAATGTAGGTAAGGATATGATTGACTGATTTCTACTTTTTGCTGCAGTATGTTTACATCGGGGTAAGATCTCATGAGCGACGGGCTGCTCCCCCGTCGATATACATGGTATATAAGGTCGACTTAAAGAGTAAACGCACACAAATAACGTTTATAATTGTACAAATGAATTGAGAAGATGTCATATTCTGCACGTTCGGTGCATAAGTAGTAACATGTGTCTTTCAAATTGACTGTAAATAGGGAAAATATAACCCATGCTTGTTTGTTTTCAACCTCCTAATGCACAGAGAACTCGAGGCGCGGAAAATGGACAATAGTCGGCGAATAGCGAACATAACAGCCGCCATTAAGGACATGCTGGAAGACTATGATATCAGATTGCGGCCCAGATTTGGAGGTAGGACTAACATGGCAGGATCTGCCAGTATTGATCTAACCAATGTTTACCATGTAAGACAAGTAGGGGTAGAGGGATGGTGTTAGCGAGGCGTTTTGTCTCCTGGAGAATTTCTAATGAAAGCTCCCCGGCCCTCTGTCTGAGTCTTGAGGCATAAATAATGCAAGTCGTGTCGTGCAGGTGCTTTGCTTTTCCTTAAAGCACAATGTCTAGCAATGCTAAGGTTTGTTTTCTTTCTTTGTGTCTGTTGTTTTAACTTCCACGTAAGCCACGCCAACCATCATTTACCGGTAACCCCAAAATAACCCCGACACAACCCACATGACTGTTACCCTCTGTATGTTGTATACTGTTACCTGTATACATGTACCTCTGTATCGTTATGTTGCTACACAAACATGTAATTACAATACGGATACTGTGTGGGCCTATGCGAAGATGCGTTTGAAGAAATGCGTTGAGTGGGAAGTAGGGGCCCCGTCTATTCGTTTAATATTATGTGATTTTTATTCCTTTTATCAAGTTTAAGACAGAGCTACTTGTTTTTCCCACAGCAGATTCATCTTAGATTTTATTGCTGTTGTTTGTTGATTAATATCTATCGTAGTTAAAGGGGTCTTAAAGTGGATCACGTTTTCCACGCATAATATGAAAACAATTTCAATTATAAGAAATAGCATATTATGCATCTGTAGAGGGCATTGTAATATACACGTAATGTCACAACGAATGGCAATTATATATATTTTTCTAAACATAATTATTAAACATGATTACTATTTACGTCACAGAGCAATAGAATCATCATTATCATTACATTGTTAGTAATACAAATACAGTATGATAAAAAAAGAAACACACCCATTAAAAGGATAGTTACTGTGATACACCACTATGGTACATACATAAAACATTGTGGCAGTAAAAACATCAACATGTATGGTAATAAATCGACCTATAACGAGTATGGCGTTGCCATCAAGATATTCTACATGTTTCCACGATGCTTACATAATAAATTTGTAGCTCAATCTTTGTCCATAGTTTCACTATTTTTATCGTCAGTTTTGTTGTTTTTGTATCATTGTCATTGTATCTTTATTAGTAGTATCATTATTATCATAATTATCATAATTATTATCATTACTGTTATTATTATTTGTAAAATTATTTTCAATATCATTAATATTACTACAATTAATATTGTTGTTATTACTATAATTAATATTGTTACTATTGTTGCTATTGTGTTTAACTGCTTTCTCATTTGCAATAAGAATAAGGTTACATTATTTTGTGATTTTGTTCATAGCTCAACAACATCAACACCAACAAACAAACAAACAAACAAACATCAACAATCAAACAACACTAGATATATGAACAGAAAAGCAATTAGGTAATATTTCCCTTAATGTGTAAACATCTACTGTAGATGTCCAATACTATTGCTGAATTGAATTAGATGTCTCGAAAGTTATTTATTTTTTTGTTTGTTATTTTCTTGTTATGCCATAACGTCTATTGTAACATGGGTTCAAGAATGTAGCCAATAAGAAGCGACGAAATAGATCACGTGTGCGTGCATAAAATTTCACCATGTGCACGGGAAGTGCATTTTGGTGATAGCAACTGTCAATTTCTCGACTTTATACTCGTATTGTTGACCCATCTTATAAAACAAATAATATATGAATTTAGCTCAAGCATTTGTGATATGCACTGCACCTGGTTAAGTCACAATGACATTGACAATGAACTCGACGCGTCTTGTTCATTATCCTACTGTGACTTAACCTGCGTGCAGTGCATATTTACTAATGCACTTGCAAAACTGTATTATTTTATAGCATTTTATGGTTAGCTTGATATTCATGTCCTTTCATGTATTTTTAGTTCAGATAAATATCTTGAACTTGGATTAATGAATTCAGCTATACCAAAAGTAGAATACATACGTATTACATAATACAATGTTGCCAATTTGAAGAATGGTTGGTGATTATGATTACTCTTTACGACATCATGTCCTTGATATGATAAGAGGGTTCATATTTTATAGAGGCTTGTGTTTCGCTAAAAATACCAACGTAATGGAATATCCCAAGTTAATATCTCTTGAACAAACAATCATACATTTTGTAACGCGAGACTTCGCGTGCCTGGAGTCCAATGTGAGTTTTGTAAACACGGTAATGCTCAAATTATGGATTTGCACATTTAACGGTTCTCTATTCTCTAATCTAATTGTCTTTTTATTTTAACTATGTTATCATAAGTTTCTCAGCTATTCAGAATACACTATCTGCTAGACTCATAACGAAACACGTGAGGGTACATACTGTGCGCGTTGACATGATCAAATCACTAGGGTAAAACAAGTAGAACTCACAACAACACAAATAACGGATATTTAATTTAGAATATACTTGCTGATGCTGGTTGTTTGCAAGTTAATTGATTTAACAGCAATTTTCGTTCCTAAAACAGCGAAAACGATGTGACTACAACCTCTCATGGATCGTTATCATTCCCATGACACTCTAAATGGTTGAGCCAGACATTTCCTCAAATGTGAGGATTTATGTAAATGATATGAGTCAAGGGACATCAATCTATGTTCATTTCTATTTAAAATGGAATATAATTTTGTTTATGGGATAATACAAAACGGTGTGATGCATTTTAGAATGGATGGTGATTATACACATGGTAATAATCATGATGGTATCGAATGGAATGAAATCATTTCGACCATGCAGCTTTGGAAACTGCTGCTTTAACATATATCGATCATAGAAGTACTTGGATTTATAATAACGGCGACTGCTATTACTACTAGGCCTACTACTACTACTACTACTACTACTACTACTACTACTACTACTACCACCACCACTACCACTACTACTACTACTACTACTACTACTATTACTATTTCTATTATGTGTACTACTATTATAGCGTTAATGACTGCTTTGAGAGACATAGTTGTTTTTATACGCTCAAGGGGAAGGTTAAAATCGAGCTATTGCCCGAGGCTTTTACTACTACTACTACTACTACTACTACTACTACTACTACTACTACTACTACTACTACTATTACTATGATTGTTACTACTACTACTACTACCACTACTACTCCTACTAATACTACTAATACTATACTTCTATTTACTTCCATGACTTCTTTTCCTACATGTATACAGTATATACTATTTTGTCTTGATACTTTAATTATCCTCTTCGATTTGGTATACGATTTGACAATGCATTTACCCTTAAAGCATGTGAAACATCATTTTAGTACCAACCTAACATGATATTGCAGATTTTGTGCAGATACAATTTTTTATTTGGTATATATTCAAGGCATTCAAAAGATAAAATGCGAGTGAAGAGGGCGCTGCTTTTTATTTCTGAATTTATTACATGGAGCAATACTTTCCTTCGAAATTCTTGCTACGGCGTGTCCCAAGTACACATAGTTGATAAATGTGTAATTCATAACGGATTTTGCATCGACATGACTTTAAGATGAAATAACTGTTCGATCCCGAGGCTGTGAAGCGATATAAAAACACATTTGCACAGCACATAAACACACACACATGTATAATGAGCATGTAATATAAACATTTGCATGAAATATGAGAGAATGGGAAGAGGAAAACGAAAGGAAAAGCGACCACAAGAACAGCAGAAAAGAACAAATAAGAACATGCATGTTACACAAATGTTAGGCATGCAAGAATAGCTTGCCTACTATGTTCTAAAATTCTAAGGTTGGTAGAAGGTTATTCCAATTAATGTGGAGTGGATTCCGCTTTTAACCGAAGTGCATTCTACTAAAATAAGAAGTGACGTGACCACTAAATAGTATGTGTCTTAAAAGGTAGATTTCCACTCGTCTGCATTAAATTTAGTCATGGAATGAGATTGTAAAAAAAAAACTGTCTGAAAGCAATTTAGAAAGGCTGATAGTAAACTGTAAGGTTTTGTAATCATCTAATCAATAGTAGTTGACCCCGTCCTGATGAAGAGTACTTGCATACCACACACAAATGTGTATATGGGACTACACCCATATTTTAAATGATTATGTGGTACAAACACTTCAGCTGCTTCTTATCATATCTTGAAGGACATCTTAAGAGCAATTCTTTTCAGGGGACATTTCTGTCATGTCTTTCTTCCAAACCACTATACAAAGAATAAGAAATCTCATAAATTATTTGTCGGCTTTAACAGAACTCACCGTTCTGTTTAAAGAGAAGGTTGAGTTCTGGGGAGAGTGAAAAATAGATTGTGAGCGTTATCATTGTTATTATGCAAGTGTGGAAGAACATCAGATAACGTTTCCTGAAAAGCATGGCTCTTCAAATGCCTTCATATTATAAATATGACAAATAACAGCTTAAAAATGAGGCCCGATTTTTATGCCACATGTTTGTGTAGTCCCATATACATATTTCTGTGTACAGTTAATTTACAAAGACTAGGCCAAATTTCTTATCATTTTGATGATTCCAGAACCTTGCCGTACACACCAATACTTATATGCTAGATGATCAACTTTTCTGATCGATTCCACAACGTTTCTTTCACAATGCAATTGCATGACCAGACTGACTCAACTTTATCTTTAAGACATTACATAGGACAGATCTGACGACACGACATCGTTCAGTCTTGCAAGAAAATTACTAATCAATGATGGGCGGGACTTTGACACGTGACTGTTATGACTAATTATTATCCAATATAATGTGGGATCCTTATTATTTTATTTAATGATCTAAGAGGCCAATCGATTTGGATCATAAACGCTTAATGGGTCTCCCAAGGTTGTGTCTATGTATATGTATCATTGATCGTGAAGTGTGCATCATGGTGGGGTCATCGAAGACAGGTCGCACTACTTGTAATTGCCCTTTTAGAAGAAGAAAATACGTTCCATTTCATGTCAAGTGCGTAATAGTATGCAGACACCTGAAA